TTGGTTATATGAAATCCACACCACTGGTTGTTGACAATTATTTTGTATAAACGAATGTATTGCATGGGCAAGACTATACACAGCATCAACGACATTGGCAACATATGGGAACTGCACATAACCTTCAACTGAAGTGATGCTGCTATTGTTACAATTAATTTCATTGGTGCATTTAAAGACTTCTTCGTAATAACTAATGTACCAAGGATTTCGCTTGTTAGTAGAAGCTGTTAACTTTGAAAAGTAATCATCTAATGTTATAATTGGTTCTGAAGGTGGAAAAATTCCCCACATCCCAGCAATGACATCACCTGTAAATTCAGTTGCTGCTGCAGCAGATGCATCAGTTACAATCCAGACAAAGTTTCTTTTGGCAATATTGCTATCTTTAACCATTTGTGCATAATTTAGCAAATTTTTGGCATGATCTAAAGAAGCCAATAGTACAATCACATTGGCTGTTGTGTTGAAGAATAATAACTGTGCCAACTCACGGTAGTCTGAATCATCAAAGTCATCTCTTATTGGCTCATTAGCATCAATGCAAATTTCTTTAGCTTTAGCAACTAAGAGAAAATCTCGATTAAATGATGACCCAAAAAGATCATCAGAGTGTATAATTGAAACATGATCCCATTCATAATACAACATGATGTCAATCATAGCTTGTACTCCTGCATTGTTTGTAGGTATTGTCCGGAAAAAGTATCCATATTGATTACGATTATTTAATTCAGTTGAAGTGGAGCCATAACTGACTTGAGACATTTGGAATAGACGAAAGAAACTAGCCACTGGAATGGATATGAAGCTTTCCAAAGGACCAATTGTTGCTGCTACTGGTATTTGAATAGAGTCATTATCTGATGCATCTAATGGTCTACAAGTACCAGATTCAGCATCGGTATTTGTAAAGACAAGGTTAACACTTTCATCAAGAGCTATATTGTCACTTTGACAAGTATCTCTGATATCATATCCAAGGGTTATATTAGGCAATAGATCAGGGTCACTGTTTATACTATCCAGTGCATAAAACATTGCTTCTAACAGTTCTATACCATGGCCCCAGACTCTTTCACCACACTTTGCACCAGCAGATCCTTCTGCATCATTATGAATTGTGAACAATCCTCCCAAAATGATGTCCTTCCCTCTCCGATCCTGTACTCCATTTATTCTATTGCCACCATCAGTGATGAGTACGGATTCAGGAGGAGTATCATATTGAAACTGTACAACACTCTGTACAGACTGAAAAAGTAGAAAGCAAAAGAACAAGGACACCATGATTTGAATGGCCAGAAATACTCTGAACATTAGTATTTTATGCAAGCTGTTGCATTATTCTGTGTAGGAGTTTGCTTTGTCAATGCTTAAATATTGAAACCAGTATAATGTTTATGATGAGTGCTTGTTCATTTCTTTTTACGTTAACTTTTCCTTGTTTACTTTTACTTTTACTTTGTTTACTTCAACTTTTCCTTGTTTGTGCATGCAGTGCTTTTGTATTATAGATGACATGAGTATAATGTTAAAACCAAATTCTGTTATAAATTGTACTCATTACAACTGTGATTTATTATTTCGTGCTTGTATTGATGAAAACTAATGGAGCACAAATCCTAAAGCTGAAACTACATATAAAATGTACATGGTAATAATAAATACCTTAGAGTGACTTTTAATTGCGGGTACTAAATTTTGCGATTTTAGCACAAGGTAGATTTTGCTGGTATTAAAAATTGCGATTAAGTAATTATTACTAATAGTTATATGGCATCATGATGTCATTATTAATAATTGCATGTATTAATAATTGCGATTTTTAACCCAAACGCAAAAATCGCAATTAATAGTACTCGCATTTAAAAGTAACCTTAAGGTAATAAACATGTTTACAGAACTGGTTCTTTTTTCAATAGTCATCATGACTCAAAATACAGATCGATGCACTAAAAGTGTATCAGCAGCAACATAATGTCACATGTGTTACGCAATTTGGAATCTAATTGATCAATCACAGGTCATGTGATCAAGTGATTTACTATGGATTGGAGATATTATTCATTGTAGACACAGAATCAGCATAAAAAGTGAGACAGAATATATCAGAAAAACATTTTACAATTATTAATTCATATGCATGTCTTATGCTAAATATAAAGTTTCATAAACTAAGAGCTGCAAAAGTTGTTCAGTCATTTTGAACAAAGGATGTAAATCCTACTACATGTAAGTAACACTACTATTAACCAATAGCTTTTTTGAAATGAAAAATGCATGACTGCATCACACTAAATTTTTATTAATTTTATGATACATATGATGTACTTATATGCAATGTAGAAGTTGAAGTTTGAGGTTATTCTAACTTAAATTTTAAAGTTATGAGCATTTTTTTAAAATGGCCCATTTTGGAAAGTGGTACTCAAGGCTTTAGCCAATAGAGCTGTTGCATTTAGTAAAACTACCATTACTAAGTGATAGTGAAGCTGCCACTTTCATTTTGAGTGATGGTACATAACGATGCTGTCACAATAAATTGCTAATTAATGATAGCCCATTTTCCACTGTGTACCTCTGGTGAAAAATTGCTTAAAATCTTTCTTTAATTTCATAAAAATCTAATTTTGATCAGAATCACTTTAAAGTTTCTTTACAACATAAGTGCATGTATATACATCAGAAAAAAACAATAAAATTGCAGAATTCCCTCCTTGCTATTTTTGGCAAAATTAGCCAATGACTCTGTACAATATACAATGCATTACAGGGACTCTGGCTTCATAAAGGTGCAACTTAAAAAATTCATAGAAATCTAATTCTGATCGGAATCAACTCAAACCTTGTACATAATATAACTACATGTACATTAATCGGAAAATTAGAATTCTCTCCTAGTCAATTTTGTCAAAATGTCACCTGGGACTTGTTCTAGATTACGAATCATTAATGTTACTTAGAACAGGGCCAAAGTCTCTGTAATAGTAATAATTGTTGATCCTGTGTAAACACATTTATCTTTTAATTATTATTAAAAGTGTCCTTGTGAAGTTTTCTGATTTCTAAATTACCTGTTTTCCATCAAGAAATATTGAAGGAATTTCAGTAGCACTAGTAACAATGTAAATCATTAGTAATGTCCCTGAGACAGAGCAAGGCTCAGAACAATCCACCACTATTGCCTGTACCAAGTCATCAGGTGTTTGCATAGTCTCGTCGCCCAGTGTTCGCAGTTCTTCTTGAGGCAGTTCTTCTTCAGATAGTTCATCTTTATCTTCCAATGAAATCTCTTCATCTTGGATATTACTTTCATGAAGTGCAGCAGTGCTAGTTGAAGGCATATCTACAGTATCTCTCGATAAACAGTCAAATATGGAAAGCTGTTTAGCCATGACAGTACATGTGAAATCAATTATGGGTGTGTCTGACTACTCCCATAAGGTGTGGCAACTGGCAATACGGAAACGGAGTCTGAGTCTCATCGTGCAAGCTCAGCCTGTGAGGCGAATTAGCTAAGTAAATAGTGGAAATTCTTGTGCTTGTATGAACTTGTTTGTTTCTAACACATTTTTGCTAGAGATATGATGTTAAAGTGACAAGTTGGTGATTTATGCATTTGGTAGGGCACATGTTTGTAATGGTGGGGCATGTGCCCCACTGTGCCCTACCTTAGCTATGCCCTGGATATAGTTGAGAAGGAAGCTCATAGAAGACTCCTTAGCAAAAAAAATTATCCTCATATACATGTTATAAACACGTGCACTTCATTTAAATGCCAAGCAAACGGGTCTCTATAAGAATAGATGCCTAGGTGCTTCAATGAGGAAATACGGCAATTACACAATATTAATATAACAAACTGATTTATAACTAAACTGCAGGTACATGTACATGTACTCATTATTACCACATTAGGATGCTTCCAATTGATATCTGTCCCGTTAGAGAGGGCGGCAGTCTCAGTGGAATTAATATCTCCTCTTCCAGCTGCATTATACAACTGTCATCCCTACAGTATTAACAAGTTAATGAGTATATTATTAACAGTTATTATTTAACATTAATTACTGCTTCATGTTGTACATGTACATGTATGTCCCATTATCACATAATCTCATTCCAACACAAAATTCACAAAATATTTAACCATTAACTGATCATAAAACAGTGCATAAACAATGACAGTCAACACAACAATTACATTTTATATACATGTGTATGTACAAAAATAACTAAGAAACATACAAAATAGAAATACATGTACTTTACAAATTTATGACCCATTTATTTGCATATACACATGTACTTGAAAACAATCATGTATGGCAGTATTTATTGGTGGTGGGGACTTATGGTAAGATTGAATAAATTGATACATTTGTGCATTAAATATTGGTAACTTGCCATGTTATTGTGAATTGTGACACCTGTACATGACACTACTCAGTAATGCATGTGACACTACTGTCACAATTATGGAAAAACATAATGGAGGTCGGAGTGAAGAGAGGGAGGAATTAGTATTGGGCGGTATCCAATATTGTCATTATAACATTATTAGATTTAAAATACCTTGGATGAGGAGGAATCATAAATCAAATTGGATTATTTTGTACTATACTGTAATATACATCTACAGTACTTGTACAATGTAGCATAAATGTTCAAATAAAGGCTGGGTTTGAATAAACGCCTGGTACTAAGAATCTTCAAGTATAGATACATATATTTTAGTCAATATAGGCACCACAACATTTAGAGTGTCTCAAATGGCCTAACTACATGTACATGTAGTTAAGCTGAATGCATCAAACCTACATGTAGAGTTTGGCGTTCAAATTCCGGTTTTACTTTTTTAACTTCTATTTTACGCAATTTTTTGTCCTGAAAAAAAATTAATGCTGGGTTTTTATTTGAACATTTAAGGTACATGTACATTTACAATAATAATTATAATAACTACCAGAGTTAAATTCCCAATATGACCCTATTCTCACTGTTCAGAAAATTCCTCAGTCTATAGTCATTTGGGAATGGTCTTGGTGTGTGACCAATAAGTATGGCCGATATTTACATACAATGGCAATACTATTGACAAATACTGTTAGAGTTTTTAATGGCAGCAAGTTTCACAATGACTGATAGCTATATTAGTTGATTGAATCGATTATAAGAAGAACACAACGAAACGGAAAGAAGATAAAACATAAATGAGCTGATTTACTTATATAGAAAAAACATGCACAGACTAGAATGTTCTACAAGAATGTCCTACAATAATTAAGAAACATGTAGACATAAGAAAGAAAGATCTAGACTTAATCATACCAAGGTTAAATACATATTACATATTAATACTATTAATTAACAAACAATCTAGTTTCAAGTGTCTTTTCCAATAAATACATGTATTTGTAAGTTTAAAATTGAAGTACATTTGTAATTTAATAATTTGACAAATTCAGTTCCTCACAAATAATGAAGTGAAAATTTGTACTCATGACAAATCCTTGTATACTTGTCACTTACTCATTGAAATTGTTCTGTTAGTATACTCCCACTACTGGCTATACATGTACATGTACATGTACATACTGTCTCCTTACAATGAATATTATACACATAGTATGATTCGTATCATATCTGACAGTTATTTCTAATTCATAGTGCATTAAAATTGTGTTACTATACCCACTGGACGGAAGATGGCAATGTATAGCAGGCATTTCAGGTGCTGCATTACAAATTCAGCAGAAAAACTTTTGTTGTAATCATTATTTAATTGCTTAAATTGTTAATATACAGCAGCAATGGTAATATTTTTGATTTATCACTCCCACTGGATCAATGATATTATATTTACATGTACATGCATATAACAGTGTCTGAATGAATATGGAGAATTTAATGTCTCAAAGCATGAATAACTCATGTGGCCATTTACTAGGCATGGCATAAAACATTTCATCTAGAGACAGGAATAGATCCAATTAGCTATGTGGGTGGTTTATCTGTAATACGCATGCACATTATTCCCAATAATTGCCCTCATGTTTTGTTATTGACAAAATAGCTGCCATCAACTGAGTGTTTTTTATATTTATAGTGCTGTTTGTGTGGTTTCAGGTCTTTTGGCTAGTTGCTTGGGTAAGTTGGGTCACCAGTTGGACTAAGAAACCTTGTACAAGGCATTTTTATTCTGGTAGAATTTATGCATTTTTAGACTGTGAAGTCCTATAGTAATCACTTATATGATGTACATGCATCTTCTTGTTTGTGTGTGAGGCAATGAGTTGTTAGGTCTTCTTGAAGATCCTGGGCCATCATTCTTTCCTTCCACTAC